ACAAAGACAAGCTGTTGATGATCGAACTCATCCGATTCGCTCAGTAACACAAGGGGAAAACATGTAGAATGAAGCTCAAGATGGGACTGAGAGTTTTTAGGAGTCTTCTATTTTAAAAGGGTAGAGAGATGAAAAACTGTTGAAATGTACAAACATTCAGACGTCACAACACCACGTCCAGAGTGAGTCCACTCGCTAACACTCAGCGATGTCCACCAGATGGATCCGATTGCACCCACGCCTCCATTTAGCTCCGCTTTGGTCTCCACCCTTGCTGATGTTGATCCAAGGACTGTGGGTAACGAAACCCTCTTCTACAGGAAAACCTACATGTGAGGTATAAAGAGACTTTATAGCTCGGTGCTTTTGAATTGAGCCACGTCCTTTCCCTCCTGGTACCACCCACATGGACCATTGGAGCCGGATCTCACTGGTCCACCAGCAGCTTCCCTGGGGGGGGGGGGGTCAACCCTTCAATCATCAGTGGGAACGCCACTCATCTCGTCAGTGGGCCTCAGCTACAAACCAAATTTCTGCCTAATTACTGTTGTTGTTGTTGGGTTCAACGCTTTGTGAATAAAATATGACCCCGTCCATGACATGAATCCATGCCCCTTCTCAACAGATGTCCCCCACGCCGAGGCACTGGCCTTTTCTCAGAGCACTCGGTGAAAAGGGGGCTCAGGCTGGAAGCACAAAGCCCTCCGCTTTGACAAAAGGCCGAGGGCGAGGAGCTGGGGGGGCGGCGTGAAAGGGTCGGTCTAATTGCAGAGTCCCGGTGAGGCAGGTAGAGTGAATGAAAGAAGGCACAGATGTCCCTTCGCTGAACGCGTCTTTCTCTATCATTTTCTCTGATGCAGAGCAGATCTCCAAGTCCGGACCAGACCCAGCTGGTAAAGGACACGGCTCCTCAAACAGCAGAAGATCCCGAGCTCAGTGAGCTCGTTCTGCTGCAGAGGTGTACGAGATAAAGAGTCCACTACGGCCTTTGTGACTGTGTGGACGCTCCTTGGTGTCTCACATGAGGTGTTTTCATGTCTCAATGAATATAAAATGCTTTCCATTTGAGATTCATGTTTTAAACATTTTAATTAACACTACTTTTTATTTATTTCTTCTTCCCCTCTGAGCTACATCCTGTATGAAATGTGAGGTTGTCCCGATTAGCGTGTTTTATTGCTGCGGGACGGAGACAAACAGGGACGCAGGTCAATGAGGGACATCGATCCACTGCAGCACAAACACAAAACTAAATGTGAATCAAATGTGCACGCATCCGGGGGCTCGCGCTCCGTCGCTTCACACAACCCTAACCCCTCATAGAACCCCCCCCCTCCGAAACACACTTATTAGGCTCCTCGCCCCCCCTCTATTGAGTCAACCCAGCAGTTGTCTAGAAGGGTCATGTTCCCTATTTGGGATGTATTGATTAGAGCGTTTATCCCCTCAATCAGTGTGAGAGAGCCCCCCAGGCTTAACACGCCGAGGGGGGGGGGGCTTCACATTAACAAACTATCTGACCACAGAGAAAGAGAGAGCTGAATAAAGAGAGGCCTTGAGACTCAGCCTTCAGCTGCCAGCAGAGAGTCAAGTGGTTCATTTCACGGCTAAAGTACAACGTCGACTCCATTCCTGCCAGGGTACTAGTGTCCTAGTACACGGTACTAGTACACCAAACTACAAGTTACTGTGAGTAATTCAAAATAAAAACACGTGGCAGAAAGTAGAGGGTAAATTTTTTTCCTCTCTTTTTTCTCAAGAATAAATTGAATTTCACTGGAGAAGATTCTGATGAACATCTTAGCGAAATGAAACGAAAACAAAAATCATCAAAATCACTTTCATGCTAAAAGCCCAAGACTCTCGGGGCTTTTATTATGAAAGGTAAGATGTGAAAGGGGGAATCCGTGAGGAGCTGGAAGAAGGAGGTTCCTTCAAAGTAAATGTTGTTTCTCGTGACCCAGTACTACGGTCAAAATGTCTTCATTATTAATTCTTGAGATATGGACCAAAACACAAGATGATTTGAGTTTGCGTTGATCTTTTGTAATCTTCTCTGGAGTATGTCAGGAAACTGTCTCCTTCTCCCAGTTTATCATCTATACATCTATACAAAAAGTGATCAATGTTATTTTACATTTCACTTTTACAGATTTTATTTTTGACTTCCTCCTCACGTTCCGCACGTCTGTGATGTAAATGTGACGCGGCGGCGTAGAGACGTACCAGGCAGGAGAAGGAGTCGTTCATGCGGTGCTGCAGAGTTCGCTTCTGCAGGACGCTGAAGAGGGCGGCGTGGTCGAAGTGGCACGGAGCCGCCGAGATCAAACCCTCCACGCCCTGCCGCTGGGACGGGTCCAGACCTGAAGACACGGGGCCAGAGGGACACGTTACTCACAACCCGGTACAGACACCAACATGGGGGGGCGGGGCAGCGATAACCTCCCAAATAATGTCCTCGTTTTCTGATTTGCATTCTACGTTGATGATTGAAGCCATGAAGTAAAGTGGTATTAAATTATTAGTAAAGTATTAAAAAAAACATACTGTCAGTGTGTCAACACTATATCATGAAAGTGAAAACCACGGCCGCGCTGGCAGCACGGTTAATGGTTAATGGTTCCCCCCATGTGAGCGAACTACAATGGGAGGGAACCAGTGACCTGCTGGTCACCAAGTTATGATAATAACACAAACAATCCTTATGTGTTACATGTATGTTAACACGTTTGTTGCTCCCTCTTAACCTTTATTGCTTTACCGTCTTTGTGTCATGTGACTTGAAGTGGGATATTTTAGTTATTTAGCTAAATGTTGTAAATGCTAAAGGTCCGATTAGTTCTGTCACCAGACGAATACTTTGAGGTACGTTGACAGATACTAGTACTAGGTACAAATATGCGGCGCTCAGAGCAGCAGACGATAACGAGGCTTCGGGGTCAACGACGGAAGAATCGAGAAATAAAAGAAGCCGGGTTCATTTCCAGTCCTTTCAGGCCTTCCTGTTAATGGCCCCGCCAAAAGAAAAGCCTAACACTCCCCACTCGGCCTTTATCTGGAGGGGCAGAAGAGAACATTTCGTGATGGGAAGTTTCTGAGCGCGACACATGGCCCCACAAAAGACTGAAGAAAGCCCGGCGCCGCCTCCACGCCGGCCCCGCCCGCGGCCTCGCGCCCAGACCGATCTGCTATTTTCATTAACGCTGCCATTTTTGTTTTTGTGTGGACGCAAGAGAAGCCCGCGAGGACTCTCAGACCCCCTCCCTCCCAGTCTTTGTCTGAAAGAGAAAATAAAAGACGGCAAAAGTGAAATCTCCACAATCAACTTCCAATCGACGCTGCCCCCCCCGTCTTTTCTTGTGACTCCCCGTCCCTGCCCTCTGGCCGGCTCCCCCTCGGTCTCATTCCGATGTAGGTCACTTTCACTTCCGTTACCTCCGGAACACACGAGCGGCCTTAATGTCATTTGGAGAAAGGCGAAGGAGGGACTAAAGAAAACGAGACAAAGAGATATAGATTAGTGCTGATAATAAGAGGGAGCGGGGGGGTGAGAGTATTGATTGGGGGACAGACAGCGGAGGAGAGATGTTGATCCGTGTCAAGTCCAACTTTCAGCTATTATCTGCGGCGGGGAGTGTGGGGGGGTGTTAAAGGGGGGGGGGGGTCGTGTGATAGAAAATATGGATGGGTGTCGCCGCTGCGGGCACAGATGGCTGCATCGTCTCCTCACTTTGTGTTCCTCAAACTGCTTCTCATCGGGGTTCCGAGGGCGGACCCCGCCGCCAACAATGACCAGGGGGGGAGGAGCTACGAGGGAACGCCGTCAAAAAGTGGAGCCGTCAATCAAAAGCAGAGGAAGGTCTTTGAGGGTTAAAGTTAAACTCTAAAGAACGACTTCACCTGTGGTTCAACCTCCTCATATGTTCACTTTCTGGCTGCTGTTTGCCATCTGTGCACAGACCAGTAAACCACCACGCCGACTACGTCTACTTCTTACATAGTGTCTAACCAGTCGAATTGCATTGTGGGTAGTGTAGGACGTGTTTGGACCAGGAAGAAGAAGAATGTGCTAATGAATAAAGTGAAAGATTTATTTTTGGTGAAAGTGTCTCTAGTTCGACGTGTTGCAAAAGTCTCAAAAGTCTTTCTAAAATGTTAAATGGCGGTTTGTGTCCGTCTTTGTCTCCTTGTTCAGACCGGGATGTATGACTGACAGTTAAAGTGTGCTCATGTGTGTGTGTCAGTGTGTGTGTGTGTGTGGGCAGCTTTCTGCGCTCAATCTCTCCATATCCATCTCCTCTTGGCTCCATTGGTATTGTCACGGCAACAGTCACATCCATGTGACATCCTGCTCTGAGAAGTGGCGGCCGGCCGCTGATGGCAGGTTATTGACGCAGACGAAGAGGAGGGGGGGGTCGGAGAGCATTTTGGTTTCAGGTGCGCCGGGCCGAGATGTGACTTGATCTGCCTGTCGGAGCGTAGCGGTGGTGGCGATGTTGTCAGGGCGAGCAGAGACAAAGACACAAACAGACAAGCCTATCGGAGTGGGGGTGGGGGGCGGAAGGGACAGAAAGTTTTAGAGCGGCAGCTGTTTCCACCTGCGTTGGAGGGCGGCGGCAAAGACCCGGGGACGGTGAAGACGAGCGGACAGTCGGTACGTCTTGCTGTCAAACTGACCAGCTGCCCCCTCAGAGACAAACAAGCGGCAGACAAGCGTAAACATCTGTAAAAACAGTGAAAACATCTGGAACAACGTGTCTCGACCCCCACACGGTAGATTTCCACTAGTTTGGAGACAGGAAGTGATGTCGGCCGGAGTTTCTTCAGCGACTTCTTTGTCCTTTTCTTCAGAGATCTGATGCTCTGATTGTTGTTTACTGAAGCCATGACGTGTAAACATCAACACAGTATCCTACAATCTCACTGAAACCCATTCAAAACAAGCTAAGAACTAATGACAACATCAAGAGGAAACTTCTGAAATAAAAGGTCAAACTATGAAGGATAGAAAGGACACAACTGATTTTTCTGCCTAAAGATTAAAACCAAAAGAAGAAGCTGCCGAAATGAACGCAGCTTCCAGGGTGTGCCACCGCGGTTGTCATGACGATAGCAGCTGTCGGGACTTTTCACCCTATGAACAAATGAGTGAACGAACAGCAGCACGTTGTCCTTCAGTCCACTTCAGTTTAATGAGGTGGACCCGGGTCGGGGGGGTGAAGTCCATTGGTCCTACGTGAAGCTCTAAGATGGACCCGGATCCCGTGGACTATTTTCTTTGCTATTTATTATTTTTTGTAAAGACGGATTAATTGATAAACTCCACAACGTTACTTACTATCGTTAGCTGGAATGAGGTGTCGAGTAACATCCTTGTTGCCGGGCAACAAGCAATGGCTTTTAAAGTATCTTCATCCCGGCTCCGGCGCCACTGCGAACTGATTTGGTGACCCAAATTACATCTCCTGCGACCCTCCTGTAGCCCCCGACCCAGACTTTGGCGAACGACGGCTTCAGGCCCCGACTGCCGGTGTGAATAGTTTGGATGTGAAACACTCCGTTCCATCATTTCTTATGTTACCACAAGAAATTATGATACAGGAAGTGTAAAGGCTGCAGCATGAAGGCACAAACACACACACGTAATAACACTGTGCGTCTATGTCACTTTCATTTTTCTGAAAAACACCCGCTGTGTGAAGATTCAGGTTGCACACACACACACACACACACACGTCACTTAGTTCTACCTCAGGGACACTTTCTATTTCCTCCCACAAACAGCGTGTCATCACCTCTCGCTATTAACGCTCAGATTTCGTCCATTAAACAAGGAATCGTGACAAAGGTGTTTTATTTTCTGGCTGTAATCAGCTCTCAGCGTGGCGCCCGGCTGGCGAGCAAGACGTAATGAGTGAAATGACCAGTGAGAGAAAGGAGACGTGGGGAGGGAGAGAAGAGAAGATGTAACAGTTAGAAGGGATGATGTTGAGCTTGTGACCACTAAGGGCGCTCTGCACGACAGTTAGGACGGGCAACGGGAGAAGAAGAAGGGAGGAGAGAGAGAAGTAATGAGGGAATGAAGGAAGAGGAAAGGAAGCCAACGAGGAGGTTTGGAATGGATGAGGAAGGACCTACTAATAGGCGACGCCGGCTTCTGGAGTCCTCCTCTGCAGTTGGTGGTCTTGTTCTGGGGGGGGGGGACCGGTTTGTAGGACTGCCCGGTGGCCCGGTACATTGCCTGGACCCACAGCATCCGGTCCTGCTCGTCGTCACACGCCAGCATCACCAGGTCGCCCTCCTTGACGGCGTTGAAGAAGACGCGGCCGCCCTGCAGGCCTGAGGAGGAGGAGCGGACACCTTCGTCAATCGTTTGTGTGCGACTGCGACAGTTGTTTCGTTTTTCACTGTCGATTGTGTTAATTATGGGAGACAATAACGTTTTATTGAGAGCTGTGTCTTCTGTTAGATAAATAAAATGAAATCATACGAAATCCGAAACAATGGCAGGTTGTGTGTGTGCGTCTCTGCTCTACCTGGCTGAGGGTCGCTGTAGTCCACCGTGTAGCCCTCCAGCTGCATCAGCTCCTGAGGCTCCGCCTTCTTCTCTCTGTAGCTGCACATGGCAAAGGTGTACTGACTCACCTGCAGGAGGGAAGGACACACACACACACACACACACACACACACACACAGGTTGTGAATCAAAGTGACTTGACTGCTCTGTGGTTGCATGAAAGAATTCAAACCTCTCTTAATATATTCAATGCACACATTTTTATGATCAGATGATTTTATGTAACAGACAAATCATTTTTCATTTCCCATCAGCCTCTCTTTTGACACTTTGAAACAAACATGTATAAAAAGGAAAGAGAACGTTCAATCTCTCAAACACAGACAGACTTCTGTGGTTGCGACCTTTGGTCTGGAGACTCAACCAATCACAGATCAATGTGTCTCATCTGCGTTTACCTGGACGAGAACAAAGTATCTTTTCTTCCAGCGCTTCCAGACTCTCTGTCCTGATGCGTACAGATACCTGGAACACACAAACATTAGAGCTGCATTAATAAGGATTTACGTTATGAATCAACCAAACATTTGTTTCTCTGTATCTGAACCGCTGAGCGTGTTCTGGTGTTGGTTGGTTGCTTGGACAACAGGAGACATTTAAAGAGTTCACTTTTTGTATAACAAAGACGATACAAACAATGAAATGGTGAATCGGGTAAAAGATCAACAGCTTAATAATCATTGAGTGGATTTCTTCACGTGGTCATTGTAGTTCAACAGCAATCCAAAGAGAATGAGGCACTATTCTCTCCATGCATTCCCAAGCATTTATTTAACAATGTGTGCAGCTTATAATATCCCAAAATCACATCCTGTTTTGTTCCTGTTGTTACAACAGCTGATCAACGACATGGAGACATCCGTCGATCAATATGATGAGCAAGAGCCTCTGATACAGAGATGAGCTGGTTTGAAATGATCCCTTCCTGTCTAAGTGGGTGTGGCAACTAAAGCGTCCCCTGCTTTGTGGTCCGTTTGTCTCTAAATGAACCATCATTTACTAAATGAACATCATGCTGTATTGAAGGAAGACTTGAAACCAGAGACTAAAGTCATGTGTCCTGAGGGAACAAATCAAGAGAAAAGTATTTTGTCAGACTTCTATGAGACCAGAGCGTGAACAGCAGCTCGTCGGGGGAAACAGAACGATGACCAGCGTGAAAGATCCACCGATGGGCGAGCCCCGTTTCTTCAGCGGGTGAGCGAGGGCGCTGAGCGGGTCGACGCACAGCATCGCACGCCCGGACCTTGTCGACCGCCACGGTGTAAATATCCACCAACAGCCCTCAGCTGTTTATCATTACAAGAAAACCTACAGGTTCACTTGAAGAATAATTCTTAGAAAAAAGTATGTTATAAGAAAAATAAAACGAGAAAACCACCTTTAATTGTTGTTTTCAACAATTTTGAAATTTTATATTTTAGAGCATCAGAGAGCAGAACCTCCTCTGACAACACAATTTTTACACATTTTAGGCCTTTTTATTGTACTTGATATGAATTCAGTTCTTTAAATAAAAGTGAAAATCAGTTTCTGCACACGACACTGATGTAAATTTGAGAAGTTTGTTTCACCTTTAGGAAAATGCCACTAAAAAGATCCAAATATTTAGCCTTTTAACCACATTTCACCCAGAAATTCTATTATTCTTGTTTTGAGTGTGTGATAATATTCAATGCAATCGTTTGCTTTCCATCTCTCTCTTTAAATAACAACATTTTTAAACAAAGAAAACCGTAAAACTTAAACCTCATCTACATATTAATGCACACACTGGTTGTTTCCATAAAACATGAAACCATGGTAACGACTTTCTGATCAGCTGAAAGGAAACTGACTGAAGAATCACCTCCAAACGACATGATTAAGCGAGTCTCTAAAAAAACATCTTCTCGTGACCCAAAATGTTTCCCGGTTTGTTCACTTCTTTTTTCCACCACCTCGCCGCCGCCGTCGGCCTTTTGAAGGATTTTAGAGCCTGAAACATTTCTTTCCTCCTCTGCTTCGCGTCCTGTGAGAGCAGCAGGTGGAGCTGATGGAGGAAGCTTCCTGCAGAGCGGCGGAGGAACGCTGACCCAGAGTGGACGCCTCCTGCAACTGCACCTTCTCACTCATCCGCTTGAGCGTCCTCGACTCCTTTCCTTGATTCCTTTCTTCACTTTGGCTTTCAGAAATAATGGTTGAGAAAAATTCCACAAAAATGTATTTTGCACTTTTCCTACAATGTTTTATTTGAAACAGGTAAGAACATAGAAATAATAATTGTTTTTTATCTTACTTATCTGGCGTAACCACTTTATTCCATTTTTTTCCTGAATAGAACGTCTCATCTAAATGTACAGGTTGTATCCATCATGTTATGTTGCAGATTTGACAGAGTCTCTCTGACTGTTTTATTTATTGATTAATCAGTTCCACTATAAGTGCACATTTTGGGAAGAACATTTTCAGTGTGAGCTCCTGCTCATTCATCAGGTTGTACATCCTCCATTCCTTTCCTCCTCTTGTTGCACCCTAGTCCCCAACACCCGAGATATGGGTAGAGGAGGCGAGGAAAGGAAACCAGTTGAGAATTAAATGTGCAATCCTTCTTTAATTTTAATGTGACTTCAGTTAAATAAGTGAATAATTAATTCTACCTTCAATCAAATAGCAACAGGAACTATTATGTGATGTGGTTTTATTCCGTGACAACCTGATTATTATCTGGTTATGAAACCGCTGCTTTCATTTCATTTCAAAGTGTTGTTTCATTCTATTCTTTTATTGAAAGAATTCCCGACACACCTTTTCGTAACCGTCTTCTGCTTTACAGACAGACTGCTGGAACACACACACACACACACACACACTATATTAAATATTAAGTTTTGCTGCTGTCTTGTGGCAGAAAGTATGAACTGCACAAAGAACACGGTTATAACTATCTATCCTTAAAGATATATAGATATACGGGCCAATGACGGATTAGGCGTATAAATGGTAATAAAAGAGAAAAAAAATAATAATAAATTACATTTAGCTGTCGCTTTTATAAAAAAGCGACCTACATTGCATTTTTAACAGTGTTTACTTAAAAAAAAAAATTAACCCATAGTGTGCTGCCAGTAAAGGCGCCCAGGGAGCAGTTGGGTGTCTTGCTCAGGGACACTTTGCAGCCGGGGTTTGAACCGCCAACCCTGCGGTTCCCGGTGCAAGAATATATAGAATATCTCTATTATTTATTCAAATGATGATTTCATGAAGTGATCCCTGGGCGTGTCTTCAGTCCTGCACACGTTGCTATTTTGTGGTTGTAGTTTATATATACACAATCATTTAAGATCCTTTAAGTCTCTTGGTAAGGAATTTAGTACACTTTACATTTAAACAGATTCAGCTTCTATGATGAAGCAGCCGTGTGCAAACACTGCAGAGTGTCATCATCACTGTGATGATACAGCACACGTGTTGCTGTGAGACACATGTGTTACAAAGAAACAACTCTATGGAAAATGTAAGATAGTTCAACATTTCAGAACCAGAGAGCCCATTGGATGGTTTAATGACTACGCTTATATTTAGTCTCCATGGCGACTGTAAAAAACTCCAACCTTTCACTGGGTGGATCACTTCTTTGCAAACATTGTTCTATTCTCTTCAGTTATACATTAGAGCCTAAATGCACACATTAAAGAAACGAATTAACTCATTAATTTGAGGATGATCATGTGATCTTGAGAGTACTTCCTGTATTAACCAGCAGGAGGCGCTGTCGCATCTCTGCAGGTTTCTCTCTCATAAAGACAAATTAAGAAAATGATTGAAAGAGAATGATATCAAGCTTTACATTTAATTAAATGAGTAGAAAGCATTTCCAGTGACGATCCAGCTGGTATGTCATGTGACCAGGAACAACCAGTCACAGCATCACTGGCTGATCACAAAGTGTTGCTGCCATAGTGTGTACATGTGTACATAGAGGTACACGCAAGTCGTGGTGATGCCTCACATTGGTTTGTGGACTCAAGTTATGAAGTTCTGAGTATTTGGTGTCACCATGTAGTTAATATATTTGGACTGAGGAGGACGTAGAGACGCCGTATACGTCTCTGGTAGAGACATGTCAATCATTTGTAACCCCACCCTAATGCATCCCCTGTTTTATGGTCTGTTTGACTACATGGACCATAATCTACTAAATGAACACCTGCTGTATTGAAGAACTTTAACCTAGAGATTGAGACCATAAACTCACGTTTACAATGTTTACTGAGAGAATAAATTAAGAAAGAAGTAGTCATTTTCTAATAAGACGTCTACAGCAGTGGTCCCCAACTACCGGGCCGCGGACCGGTACCGGTCCGTGGGCCGTTTGGTACGGGGCCGCACCACAGAAAGCTTATATATATTTTTTTCTGAAAAATGTTTTATTTTGACAATTGACCGGATTTTCTCCTAATTATGTGCGCTCGTCCCTCTGACATAGTCCCCATGCGTCACCTGGCGTTTTTCTTGTCCTTTTACCGTGCACGGCCAGCGAACACAGAGCGCGCGACTACTACCCCCCACCCCGTCGGTCCTTCCGCCCGCAACGACTACTACCCCCCCAGTGGTTGGGGACCACTGGTCTACGGGACTAAAGGAGTCGCCCCCTGCTGGAGAGAATGCAGCTTTAAACACAAGACCTGGAGGACACTGCCTGGTTCCTGCCAGCTCCAGGCAGACCGGACCCTGTAGAGCAGGGGTCCCCAATCACCGGCTGTGGGCCTTTTGGTAACGCGCCGCACAAAAATATATGTATATATATTTTTTTGTGTTCTATTTTGAAAAAGGACCAGATTCTCCCCCAATCACATGTGCTTGTCCCTCTTGACACTTTTCCCAAGCGTCACCCACACGCTTTTTTGCCTTTCGCAGAGACTTCTACACCCCAGACCCTGTAGGGGACCGGACTCACCCGCTGTGCTTCATGTTGGGGGGCTTGTCCATGCGGACGGCCAGCTTGATCTTCAGTTCGGTGTCCTGGCTGCTCTTGGGGACAACCATCCGGTGGAAGTCGGCCTGCTTCGGTCCATTGGTAGTTGGATTCAGGACCACCTGAGGATCCGTATTAAAGTGTGACATTATTATATAACAATAGATGGATGTAGAAAAAGATGTGACTCTCAGGCCATGAATAAAACACATGTTGTCTAGCGGTGTGTGTAGTTGTGTCTACAGCCTGTGTGTGTGTGTCTACACATGGACTCACCCGGCCCAGCTCCTTGTCCTCCAGCGCCAGCACCCCGGTGCTCTCGGTGAACAGCTTCACCTTGACGGAGGGCAGCGGGTGGGTAGTGGTGAAGTCCCCCTGGGTCCCCCACCTGAAAGACACAAGGGATCCACTTCACATGGTTCAATCCCCCTCTGGAACAGCGTCAGGCCAAGGAGGGAAACAAACCCTCCTTAATATAATTTAATAGTTATTTGATTCTGGAGAATTCTAACCCACTTCTTTAAGCAAATCAAATTTGTTTTCTTCCAGACAATGTCATTTTTCTCCCAATACAAAAATGTAATGTTTGATTGAGAAGTGTATTTAAATGCTGTTGGCTATTGTTAGGACACGGGGTAGTGGACCACTTCCAACTATAGTGGTCAAAATATTATGAAAAGATTATCACCATATTGAAATGTTCAGATTTCCGCCTTTCGTGAAAACAATTCAGATTAAAAAAACTAAATAAATTGATAGTAGACAGATTTTGTTTATTCTGTCACTTTCCTCACAGGGATTCTGTACATTTGTCTTCTGACAGCCCGAATAAAGTTTATTCAAACCAGACCACGTTGAGTAGAGCGAGAAAGGCAGCAAGACTTCTAAGGACGTCCGTACATGTGCAGATGTGTGAGAGATGCAAACAGCTGTGGAGAACAAACGAGGTCATCATTTGGCCCGTGGTGACGTTCACTTGTACCAGAGTTCCGCCAAGCAGCCCCTTCATTGTCAGCAAGGACCCCCTCCCATGATGACACGCCTCTATGCGTGTGCACGTATGACAAGTGACCTCTTCACGCAGCTGAACTCCATATTCACTCTCCCCAGTTTCCAAGGCAACAATGCGCAGAGGAGTGTTTCACCGTTTCAGCGCTGCTGCTTGACCTTTCTGCTCCGGCCTGAATGCAGCGGGAGGAAGCAGAACTCACTGTGGTCTGGAGGCTTCGGCTTGGTCCGTCTGCAGCTTCTCTCCTCCCTCCACCTCCATGGTGCAGTACACCACCCGGTTCGGAGCCACGGACTTCAGACCCTGGACCTCCACGATCACAATCTAGAGACACCGGCGGAGACCAAAACCAAAGACAAGACACTGGTGGCCGTTAGCGTTTTGTGGACTATAAATAGTCCAACCCAAATCAGATCAAAGGCTGTACATTATGGAAATACCATTGAATGTTTGCGATCAACTCTCAGGTTCTCATTAAATAACTCCCTCATGTAATCATCCACCAAACTACCAACAGAAGGGACACGCCCACACAGACCTCCAGAGTGAAGGACAGCACGACGTCGGACTTGGACAGGACGTCTCCCTCGTCTCCCATGTCCAGGAAGGAGTTGTTCATGGTGGAGCGTTTGAGCTTCTGCTTGAAGTCCGGACCTCCTTTGGACACCGGCAGGCTCTCCAGGTTGGCCATGAGCAGGTTGACCGCGGAGCGCAGCTCCTCCACGTAGAGGGGCTCCATGTCAGCCGAGACGAACTTCGGGTGTCTCCCGTCCTGAGTGGGACAGAGGAAAACATCTGTGTCTTGGACCCACCGGGGGACGTCTCTGACTGTGCCTTTTGTTTCTGTCATTTCCCTCTCAGGGACTCTGTACACTTGTCTTCCGACATCCCTAATAAAGTTGGATGTTTTGTCCACTTGGGAGCAGCAGAACTGTAGTCGTTTTATGAAAATACAAGCACCCAGCAATGCCTCCATTACAGTCCAAGCCCTTCAACGCGCTCCGTACTGAGCAGGAACTTCTCTCCTGACGAACTCACATTGAGAGCAACACATCGGGGTTTCAAGCAGCAGGAGGAGAGCTAGTTAGCGTTAGCTGTTGGCTAAATAACGGCGCTAGCGGCTTAAATAACATGATGATGCGCTCGACATCTGATATGATCGTGACATGATGAACGCCTCACCCTGGATATCTTCTCGGCCAGCTGTAACCTTCCGTCCAGCTCTCTGCGGATCTGAGCCGCCTGCTCATCCACGTTGTCCAGCTGAGAAAGAAAAAACAGTCAGAGTCACATCAGGCGGCCAATCAGAGCGCTGCACAATCCATATAAGCCATCCAGCAGGTCAAGCAGGCTCAGCTGGGTATTTATGAACCATTTAGCAGCTTAGGTGGTAACAGACTTCAGTAATTAACCAATCAGGAGCGAGGGTCTATAAATAGCAGATCTCGACCAATCTCTATTGACCAATCAGAGAGCAGAGATATTGAATTTTTTCTCAGGCTTTCGGTCAAATTGGGCATATGCTCATTATCAAAATAAAAAACATGTTAAACCCTTCACCACAGAGACATAGGGCCGGACTTTACAATGATTGACAGGTCTCTACTAAAAGACGACTACGGCTTCTCTACTTACTCTTTCGCATTTAAATTCTAGTCAATCATTCATTGCATGAAAAAAAGGCCGAGATGGTGACATCACGACACGTCCTCTATTTCTTAGATACAGTCGCTGACACTCATAGAGGAATAAAGACAGAGCGACAAAACTGAACTCGGTTTAGCTGACTGGACAGAAAAGAAAGGCCTCGTTTCAAGAATCTGAGATGACCGAAAAATCTGAGATAAAAAAAACCTTCTCTGATGGAAACCGTCCCGAAGCCACAGAGTGGAACCTTCAGAGATAAGCCGTTAATTTCAACCAAACGCGTCCCACAGAATCAACCGTCTCACTCAGAGAAGCAAAACTCCCTTTAGTCACGCTGAGCTGCAACTGAACAAGAGAGAAAAATGCTGAGCAGCGAGTTCAGAACTTCTGATATAAAAGTGAGCAAGAGCTGCTGCACTTCTACCCAACCGGGTTTATATCACAAATAGTATTAAAAGCATTACAATACATTTTATTTCATGTAATTTAGCTGACTTACAATAAGTGCAATTAAAAGTCAGTAATATGGAACTAAACCAGGTTTTTATCTTGAAAGTATCTTCACTGCACTAATAATCCAATAGTAATCGCAGTCACTGTGACGTTGACCAAAATGTTACAATTAACCTACAGGAAAACCAACTTTGGAAAATGTTTAAAATTGTAGGACAAAAGCACAGAGAACACGATGGTAGAGACCTGTCATTCACCGTGAAGCCCCGCCCTAAATCCTTGATTTATGGCGTTTATGCTTTCACGCCTTGAGTTAGCCGTCGCCATCTTTTTTGTCTGTCTCTGGTAGAGACCTGTCAACGAAGGCAACGCCAACATCTCATATGATGTTTAGTGTGCGAACATTCGCCAATCAGCTCTACAGAAGCACAGCAGGGCCGATGGCAACGTCGAAATGAGAAGCGCTTTTACGTAATTCAGTCTGAACCGAAGCGATCCATCAACCTTTAATAAAACACGCCACCATTACGACTCAATGACCTCGACGGCTTTTCCAGTCGACGCTCAGATTTTATTCCCAGAAATTTAGCGTCTAAAAGACACAAATTACACTGGAGATATTTTTAAAAACAAAGCAGTTGAATAAATAATTTGTCGGTTCAACTTATGTCCCCACTTCCTGTCATCCTCCGGCGGTAATTGCTGAGCTCAAAGAGGATTTGACAGGTATTGTTTCTACAGAAAGTGCTACCCGAGAGGGGTGGGGGGGTGTTTAGTCATTTCTATGGTCGTCACAGATGCGATCAGCTGATCACTGAGTCCTGATTAACTCTGTGAGGAAGAAACAGGAAGCCGTCTGGTATCAACTCGTGTTTTATTGTTGATCCTGGTGGTTTTCAGTGCTGCTGGAGATCAACGCGTGTTTATGCTCCAGCATCGTCTTTGTTGTTCGTGATGAGGTCATGACAGCGTGGCATCGTGGGAGTTACAGGGTTTTACTGCAGAAGGTCTGCTGTCCAGAGCAAACGAACCAGCTGACTAGAGGGCCAGTTTGTAGCCATATCAATTATGTTTTACTTCACCCTAAAAAACACCCGAAAATAAGAATTTATTTTTATTATTAACCGCCATTTTTCTACATTAGCCCCGAAAGCACAAACCGAAATACTGACTGACATTCAAATAAAGTTTCACCTGCCACCAAACCATCTTCACGGCCGGTGACACGCCGCCCGGGCGGACACAGCACTTCCTGTGGCCAAATAAGAAGCCATTTGCTCCTGGGAGACAAACGCAGCTGCCCAAAGAGGATGAAACGCACCTTTGCTTTGATTCAAACGACAGATTTCTGCGCGTAACTTCTAATGATCTGCTAATGCCACTGACTGATGTTTGTCCTCTGAGCCGCTCCTCTGTCTTCAAACAGGAAACTTTGAGGGTTGCCGAGGACTAACCGACCTCGAGACGCTCCGTGACCACGAGCGCATCTCCAAGAGACTGCGTGCATAATTAACCACGGCGAGATAACGGAGAGCACTCTTCAGGTACGCTTGATGGGTCACATGACGGGTCACATGACAGCTGTTGCTCAGTGTTTGAGGTACCGGCACCGTCACAGCGGGAATAGACGCTCCTAAGCATCCAAACGTGGTGTTATGTCTCATAACATCAGCAGAAAGGAGTAAGTTATTAGTAACTATTATTGTCACGGCACGCTGGCCGGCCGAGGAGGTTGAGGTGATAATGAATATATAAACCGTTTGAGTGGTGGAAAGGAAAAGCTGGATAAAGCAGAAGAAACGGCGTCATCACAGCGAGAAGCTGCCAGATTGTGGCCGACGGTCCTTCAACGCATCACATCAGAAAACTTAAATTAACATTTTTTTATTCTATTCGTCTCATTGGAAATCTTTTGCTTTAACCAGATTCTGTAAAACAGGAACTTGAGCTGAACTTTGAAGGCTCACCTGGCAGGCGTTGTACAGCAGCTGGTGCTCGAACTTGCGGATGCCGAGGATCTGCTGGAACATCTCGTACAGCTGCTCCTTGCTGAGGATGAGCTCCGACGCGGCGCTCAGGTGGGCCCGCTGGGACGGGCGCCGCGCGTCCTCCTCCCCCCGGTAGATGGCGTCGTACTTGGCGATCCAGGAGCTGAGGACCGTCTCTTTGCTCAGGCCGTCGATCTCCGGGAGGCTGCGGACGCGCCGCTCGATGTTCTTCTTGAAGATCTCGCGGAAGTCACTGGCCGAGCAGCCGCCGCCGTGGACCATCCGGGAGACGCGCTCGCTCTTCAGGAAGCCCTGGGGAGGGAGGGGGAGACGAGGTGGGTTGAGAACCCACACGGACTACACGCTGCCGGCTACGAGAATGTGTGTGACTCCGTACATTGGTCAAAGGCTTTAAAACCGAGGGCTTAAAAATAAAAACGTTTTTTGCCAAATCAAATAAAGTCAAAGTCCCCAAACACCGAGGCGCGAAACAGTACCGGGCAGTGGGCCATCAACGCACAACAGGAGAATACTTTTTTCTTGTCATTTGACAAGTTTTATTTTGAAAATTGACCGGATTCTCTTCTACAGAATTGATCATTTTATATGTCAAATACCAACATCCTTGAGGGCTACAGAGGCCATCTTAGTTCTAGCCCGTGTTCGGTTTGTCCATTCTGGGCTCCCGTAGAAATATGGCGGTGCAACACGGTGGACTCATATTTAGTAGCTTCTGTTTACACTGAAAAGGATGGAGCAGAACTTAGTAAGATATGATCCATTTAGAGTCAAACCATGAAGACCATAAAGCAGGGGATGCTTTAAGGCGGAGCTTACTGTGGAGCTTACCAGGAGGCGACTCCTCTGGTCTCATTAGACGGCTATGGTGTCAAACAGACCATAAAGAAGGGGATGCTTTAGGGCGGGGCTACACTGATTGACAGGTCTCTACAGTCGTTCCACATTCCAAATATGGTAATTAACTGTTCACTGGTTAACAAACTACAACACGCGTAATCCAAGTTGAGACGTACATCTACGTATCGGACTTCTAATGAATAGTCACACCTTAAGTAGCACACAGAAGTTGTATTTGCAGACACTAGTGGGGTTTTAAATACAGCTGCTACAGTTACTACACAAAATACGTTCACATATTAGTAGAACAAAACGATTGAGGACAGAAATATAATCAGATTATAAAAGGCTGTTTTATCCCCCCCCCCCTCGCTCTCTGGACACAAATGTCAGCCATTATTACTAATGAATCGATCAACAGGAGGGGAGCCCCCCCCTGCTGATACAACTAATTGGAGCTTTAAATGTTTTCGCTTAATTATTTACACACCAGCGGAGCGGCGGGCCTGGAGATGAGAGACAGAAAGTCTCGACTACTAAAAGAAACGTTTAAAGGTATAAAGTGAGACCGAGGAGACACCAGAGGACACGTCTTCACTGGTGGGGTCTATTTGGGATCTTTGTGAAAGAAAAGAGGATTAATAGTGGATTCACACAGGAGAAGAGCCCAGGAGGGCGGGGGGGGGGGGTTGGAGGTTCCACTGGTCCGGTGGAAGAGAGCTTAAAGGAGCCGAGGGGATCTACAAGCAGAAAGGGAATAGAACATGAAAAAACAAAGAAAAACCCACAATGGTCACTGAAATGGTGAAAAGTAAGAAGCAAAAATGTATGGAAAACAAGACATGCTTCTGAATTACAGTCCAACAGAATCAATAGAGAATGAAAAATGACAATTTTCCATACATTTTTATTCTCTTACTTGTCAGTTTCAAGTTATTTCAGTTACTTCAGTTATTTCAGTGACTATTGTGGGGTTTTCTTTGTCTGAAGGGGACCAAGTTTGTCCACATGTGTATTCACAACCATCTGACAAACTGACAGACGAGACACGATCCCCCAGAAACAGACAGAACGATTAAAACTGTGCCTAACGACCCTAAAACATTTTGTTCTAGAAATGACCCAAAATGTTCCTTGACGTTAACGACATAATTAGACAGATGTCAGAGGTCAAGGAAACGAGCAACAGACAAAGAAGTGGGTGCTCATGCCGATCTCCGTCCCCTGTACTCCACCCTACCACCAGGGTGCCCTTCGCCCTCCGCCCCCCCCCCCCGCCAGCACACAAGCTGCTCCTTCTGTTCCCACTGCGCCTCCGATTTAGCTTCACAGCCATTTCACAGTTATGTACTTTATGTTCTTTCTTCCCCACTTTTGACTTGATGCAAGTTGTTGACTTTTTACCGACCTGTTCTTTTTGCAGAACTTTTACAAAATAGCAAACAAAATCATATATATTTTTTGAGTAATCAACTCCTCAATTAGTGTTCGTAAGGGCTAAAAAAAAGATTGAACCCCTTAAACTGACACTGAAGAAGCTTTAAGGTCCAACAGTCTCCAGGTAAAAAAACATCTAGTCCAGCTTCAAATACGGAAATAACTCAGAGAAGGTCAGAACGCATGAGCTGCTCACGTACGTGCAGTTTGAGGCCTCTGATGTAAATCCGGAGTGAAAGCAGAAGGTCAAAAGGCAAAGAAACTAGACCTGGAACTTGGGAGGTTCTATGAGGAAAAGAAGTGCAACATCCAGCGATGTGCTATAAATACAAAGCAACAGACAGAAAGACAGACAGAGAAGAGGAAGGTGTGTGTGTGTCCAGGCAGGTGGGCTCCAGGTGCGATCTTGGCCACGGCTCCTTGAAACGTTTACTCAACGTCTGTCATGCAGCTCATGCTGTGAGGTCACCAGGTGTCATGTTGATGTTCCTCAACCACCGTCCTGAAGGAAGCACACACTCAGCTTATTGTTGACGTCCATCGGCTCCATTTATGCCGGCAGGCCGAGATAACAAACCTGCCTCTCGATAATAACGGAAAGTTCAACAGCTACAAAGACTGAGGGTTCGAAAAAGATTGAATAAATATGCAGTTTAACAGAACAAACAAATCCAATTATTTCTCTAATAAATAGTGTCTTTTGAGCCCATTTTTGTTTATGCAAACGCTTTAAATAAGGTGCTCTTTAAGTTTTATGACCCATTATACCATAACTTGTTTGATTTAATTGTCTCACTCGGAAGCTCAAAAGTTATTGGAAGAAAACGGACGGAATGATTTTCAAAAACATGTATTTATTTACATTTGAACACTAGTTCATAGCTGAGAACTTACTATTGTCTTCACACCTTATCCCCCATCACATGACATGATGACAAAATTTCCATTTCAAAGAGTCTTCTGCTAAACTGTGCATCCTCACAAGAACAGAATAGCATCTAACTAGCTGAGATAAACCCGTGGAAGAAGAACACACCGCCTGCATGCACACTTCAAACGTTCACACGCTTCTCCTCGGCCGGGTCTCAATCCACTTTCATCCCGCGTTAACAAGCCAACCGGTGAAACTTGTATTACAGCAAACAAACCGGTGCCGGCCTCCCACTCACAGAAACAACCACGGCCTGCAGCCCCCGCCGTGGAAGATGCACACATCAACACGGCAGTTTGTGCGATGTTCTGTCAATGTCTACCATGACTGATCCTGAAGTCAAAGAATCAGAGACGCTACACAAGAATGTAGCCAGCGTAGAGTCAGCCGCTGGTTTGTAGAGTGTTGTTTTTAAAGCCCTCAGTCGGCCATTTTGAGTTCTTGCTGACGACATCTTGTGTAACCAGAAGTTCTGCCAGATATGGATCCCCAAAGCATGCCTGGTTATTATGGACTGTTTTACACTCAATTAAAACCAGGCTGCAAACTCTGGTTCTGAAGAGTCAAAGCTTCACGTGTTAAAGCTGCATTCTCTGTAGTGACCACCAGGGGGCAGCTCCTCTGTTCCCATAGAAGTCTATGAGAAAATGTCTACTTCTTCCTCGATTGATTCCCTCAGTAGAGCAAACAGGACCGAGTCGAGGCTTCAAAATGTTAGGTGACATAAGCATGACCACACCTACTTACAGCAGGGTCAAGAATCAGGGGATTAGTCGGCGGGGAAAGCACTCCGCCCTCCCGCATTCTGCTGCAATGTGCCTCATGTTGTGCGTTACAAAGGGTGTGAGACCCAGATGTGGGGTCAGAGCAGCAAAGCGGGGCTGCAGGTAATGATTACTCTAATCGTCCATTAATTAATTAAAATATTTCTCCCTCAAAATGCATCTTAAACACAGATACTGAGATAAAATAGAGCAGTGGAAAGCAGCCAATCGACACATTGACGAGGCAGCAACCAGGAAGGATTCAGAAGGCCGAATCAACCACAGACTGATTGACAGCGTTCGCGTTCCATTAAGCCTCTCCTCTCGCAGTCTGTGAGTCTTTAGGTTTTCACTCCTGACAAAGAAAAGGCATCCGATCCAAAGAGAGGACGAACCGAAGTGATTCACAGCTCCTCATTCAGTGTGATGCACATCTTACACTAAAAGTCTCTCTGGCACATTTGATCCATCATTTCTAACCTTTAATCTATCAATCTAATCACACGCCAGGGGAACATGTCAGATTATCACATGATCATCATGTTTGTCGCTCAGCCTGTGCTGGTTCCTGCTAGATACACATATTTAAAACCGATGCTAATTTTATTCCGTTTTCTGATCATGTTCCTGGAGGTTAATTGAACCCCGTTGTCTGCTGGGTTGGACGGGTCGATGTCCCCCACGTCACTCTTTCATTCCTCAAACCACCTCATTAAAAAGGTCGCTCTGCAGTGAGATCCACTCAGCGCACAGAGGTTAGATCCCCGTCTCAGGGATGAGGGGGAGACAATCTAAACACACACACACACCTCTTTAGACTATAACGTGACTAAAAACCAATTTTAGCACTTCAATTGTACTTCTAATGGCTCTTCTGTATAGCAAGTTGTAATTCGGCTTATTTGATGAAATTGCACTTTCTTGTTTGTTGTTTTCCAGCTCCCGTAAAGAAATCCAACTTTTCCTTTCTCTTGATTGGTCGGCGTGCAGCTCTCAGTGAGCCGAAGCTCGTTTCCGCTCTCGTACAGTGTAGTGTCGAGTGTAGCTCGTACAGCTACAGAAGAACAGGCCTCACCTCGTAGTAGCTCCTTGCGGCGTTGCAGAAAGCTTCATCCGCCACAATCTGCGTCTCCCCGCTGAGAAAGGCCAGGAAACGCTCCTTCACCGCCTGCAGCTGCTGCTTGTTCACCTGTAGACGGAGACAGACATGATGGAGGAGGACGGGCCATCAATTAGAGTCAGATTTGGGCGTGGGGATGAGAGACGGAACAGAGATTAGACTCGTCGTTAAAGAGTCTCCGTATGGAACAAGTGACTCATTAGGAGACGCAGCTCCAACAGGAAGACAATCATTCATCATGTTTCAGAGAATGACGAGCAGGGTAAAGATTTGGCTCATTGGAGGTTCTAGACTTCTTCCGGTGCAGGCAGCACAATCTAATGCCACCACTCCGTCATGTATATCTTATTACTGCGTGTACTATATATGGTTTATATTTTGATGACTTGTGGGGTTGTGCTCCCTCTCTTCACCAGATTCAAGCAGTTCATGTTTTCCATCAATAACAACATTTCTTGAGAGGAGCGACTCTCAGCGACCCGAAGAATCGGCCATTAAATGTCATCGGCGGGTTTTCTGCCCAGTGGACCATGTCGTGTTGAATGAGCGGCCGAAGTTACAGCTATGTATTGGGGGCTGGGGGGGGATTAAACCATTATCCTTTCCGTTTGTTGCAACAGTGTCGGCAACAGATGCATTCTGGGAGTCAAAGCGCCACCAGCCCCTCAGAGTGAGCGGAGGCTTATCTGCTGCCGACAGCTGGTTGTGTGGGCTCGCAGGGCGAGCGCGCCTCGACCTCCGTCCGTACAAATATAAGACTGAAGCATCCTGCCAACGAGCCTCCGCTCTGACCAGGAAACGGATTTCAAAGCAGTGGAGGTGCTCTGCTGCTCCGTCAGCCACAGAGAACCTCCGTGTGGAGGCCATGTGATCCTCGGGGCCGCCGCCGCGCACGCTGGCACCCTGAGGGCGGCGGGGTCGACGTCTCACAGCGTTTGGGGAGGAATAAACGCTGCCGTCGGCAGACAGCAGGAGGACGCCTTCATATATCTATGATTGTTAAAGTTTCCCACCAAAACTACATTTTACAGAAGACACACAAACACATCATCCTTTATGTTCTCATTTTCACTGAGCAAAGCCTGAATGCATCTTAATGTAGCCAAAGTGAGCCTGAGTGAACAATGATGTTTACGATGTCACGTGATCAGAGACCAGGCACTAAAGAAGCATGAATGACGTCATCATCAGTAATAGATAGTGATGCATGATGTCGTATCGGTTATTCTAAAACAAATTAAATCAGCGATGCCGTCCGATGTGATTTGATCAGACAGATGATCCAAGGAGCTGTCAAACTGTCAATCATCAGGGATTAATCCAAACACCAACATGCCAAAATGACAACACTGATCACATCACACGGAAACGTTTCATGGGAAATGGCAATTCATCGATCCTCTGTTCTTTTCCACGAATCAATACCTACATTTCCTCTGGTAAAGCTCCTGGCCACCGAAGGACGTTTCTCTGGACCTACTTAGCAGAAATGTCCCTGGGGGACTGTCCCTGCGGCATTATGGATGAGACGGAACCTCCTTTTCAGTGTAGGTAGATTGTTGTTGACGGGACAGAAAAGCATGATTAAACGCATCATGGGTGACCAACATTTGCATCAGAAAAATTCAACCAAACTAATCGGGATCTTTCGTGAAGAAAACAGTTGACTGTTTGTCTATTTTAGATGGCGCAGTTTGATCCCATTGTGCTTAACGGGGTTAACTAGTGGAACTGTTTCATTACGAAGCAGCACTCGGTCATGTTGCAGCTTCCGAGGAAACAAAGACACTTCACAAAGACGCAGCGAGGAAAAGGCTAAAAGTAGAATCACACCTTCATTTTCACCTCTGAGCAGCGGCTGCTGATCCAGAGACAACGCCTCGCCGTCCTGAGCGTCTTCATCCCCGATACGCTCGCCAGAGGTGAGGTTTGAGCATCCGACACACCTGGGCGTGTGTGTGTGTGAATTCTTAAACTGCAACTTATTCTTATTCTATTTTTAGCTTGTTTAATGTTCTGTTATGTTAATCTTCTCAATGGTTTTTAAATTTAAAATGATGTCCTGATGCTTCCAATGGATTTAAGTGAAGCACTTTAAACCTTCTGTTGAAATGGGCTGTACAAACAGAACCACCAAACACACACACACACACACACGGCAGTATGACAACTCCCCTGATTGTCATAGCAACGGTCCCTGCAGCATATGCAGAGTCTGGTGCAGCTGCTGACATCTCACAGAACAGAACGACAATGTCAACAATTCAAAGACATTTCAACTGTGACGTGAAGCTCAGAGGTCATGTTTGAGCCGTTTAAGACTCTACAAAGCAGCACCAGAATCAAACCAGTGGGGTAAAAGGTTCATCCTCTGGGGAGCAGGACTGGGATCATTATACGTTCAGACGCTTGTTGTGTAGAAAAGGTCAGCGAGTCCCAGAGGCCACGCAGGAGATCATTTCAATGAGCCGTATAAAAAAGATTTGCCGATCCAAACGGGCAGATCGGTCACGGACCGGCTGGTGAAGTTTCGCGTTTCACTCACGAGCCTCTGAAAGGGATTCATGTCGGAGTAAAGAACCAGACTTTTACCAGCCTGCAGGAGAAACAACACAGGCTCAAAGCCCATAACAGAACCAACGTAGAAGCAGGCGGTAGAACTTGGCCTGGACCTTTCTCAATCTCAGTAGAGCTGCTGCCTCCGAGCCTCCGTCTTATCGCCGGCCCACAGACAGCAGAACGTCTCTGATGCTCAGAGGGATCCCTCCCCGAAGACAAACACTTCCTCCCTCCCTTTACACACACACACTTCCTCCTTCCCTTTACACACACACACACACACACACACACACAGCTGAGGGTCAATTAAAGGTCAGAGAAGTTCACTCTGATAATATTTGAGCCTGAGTTCACAAAGGGTCTTTTTCTGGCAGAAGAGATTGACGATTAAAAGAAACAAATAAAACTCCACATAGAAACATTTATTCTGGTGGTACAGATAGCTGTAATTCTAGAAGTACGGACCCGGCGGAGACCTCGTGTGCCTCTGGCTATATGCGCCCTCTTTTCCTCCAGTGACTGATCATGAATAGATTAGCTGACCCCTGACCTTTTCCCCTCGAGCGCCATCATCAGGCCGGCCTTAAGATGTGGACGGTGGACAGCCTCCATGTGTCCACGAATGGATCGTTTCCTCTCAACTGCCGTCGAGCTACGAGCGTCCATTCATCAGCCCATCGATCGTATATCAAATCCAAACACACTTTATTACTCTTCTAATGGTCAACCTTGGCTAGATGGCGAGGGGGGGGGGGGGGGGGGGGGGTTCCTTAGGTTTTTCAAAAGGGGGAACCGGTTGCTTGAACAAAAGGTGTCTCCCGTGGAAACCCCTTTTTCCTCTTTGGAAGCCTCCCCCAATGTCCCCGAAAAAAAGGGGTTGTGTTCTGTCCATTCAAAAGTCTTTTGAAAAAAAAAATACAAAAACCTGAATACTTTTCAAGGAAATCGGGATATCGGCACAGACAATATTTCATGAATATTGATTTGATAACGAATATTGCTGATCGATGTCCAGGGTCGAAACAATTGAAGAGGTCTGATGCTATGAGCTAAATGCTAACGTTAGCATGGCATAGATGAGAAGTTAAGGGGTCATTATAATTCACCCTAAGGGAGCGACAAATAACTGTAGCAAGTCACAGCAATCTGCGCAATCTGGCAATCCGGAGGGGAAGGCTAGGGTTCATCCTCTGCGGGTTCATCCTCTGCGGGTCCTGAACGTTTGTACCGAATGTCATCTCAATCCGTTCGGACGTTGTGCTGATGTTTGGTCATTACGGACAGAATGTCCATGAAATAAAAGTTAGAAAAATGTCTGCTTGTGCTTTTAATTACAGTTATTGGAATGAAAGAATATCTGAATCAGCGGGTCAGACTTTAAAAAAAAGAGGATCAGCTTAGCGGCCGACCCTCAGAAGAGAAAGTCCCGAATGCAGTCAGTCTCCCTCTCCACTCTCCCGTTACAGCCTGTGATTCCTGGTTCTGGTCCCTCAGGTACGGAGAGGAAGGAAGCAAAGCTTCCTCACCCGCTTCCTTCCTCTCATTGTTGGAACTCCGAGCTCCTTGTGAGCGTTTGAGGAGAAGCGAGTGTCGCACAGAATTAAGAAGTGTGGATCAACACTGACTGACTGGTGAGGCTTCAGTGTTTAAATTAAAATGGATATCAGTGGAGTTATTGGTGTCATTTCTTAATTAAAATGGGTTGAGGTTGCAGATTCAGAGTTTCTTTCAAACAGAAGCGCGTTCCTCAGCTGGTGGAGTGTCCACCGGTCGGCCTGCCTGGACCCAGAGAGACGGTCCGAGAGGTGGCTTCTGAATGTGTGTGAGGAAGCCTCGGTTTTTTAACCACTGGCCCTGGTGCCAATGAGGCGGGGAAGCTCTCGGCGGGAATAGAGAGCCGAGGAGGAGGGTGGGGGGGGATCTGGAGCGTCGAGAACGGGCGGGTGAGATTGAAAAGACTGGAGAGAAGGAACAGAAATAGAAGCAGAGAGCGCCGCCTCGGCTCGTCCGCCACGGCTGGTTTGAATCAACGAGTGGCCAGCGAGAACCACCACGCTGCCGTCGAAATGAGGCTCAGGGCGCAAACCGCCGGGGCCCGACAGGGAGGCCGGAGGAGACGTCATGACATTCCCAACCAGAGGGGACGGAATCGCTGCGACGTTCATCTGATCTCCTTTAAGCTGCTGCGATCATGTCACAAGTAATACGTTGAGCCTTTTCTTGGCTGGGTAAAAGTATGCAACATCATCGTTTACGCTTTAAACAATATTTTTCCATATCCCAGCTTTTAGATCATCAGAATCTTGTTAGTTTTAACAGAAGAGGGATTTGTTCTGTGACTTTGGTCCACAACGTGCATTCGACCATCGCCATGGTAATCAATGTTCAATTACGTATAGGAATGCATTGTTAAACACATATATGGTTGTCATGACATCCCCATGGTTTGTGGGCCGATGTTCTGAAGCCTGTTTTTCAACAGATGAACGTAAATGACCATCTCTTTGGCA